GAAAATGGGATTTTTAAGGGGGAAAATGGGATTTTTATGAGGAAAAATTGGGATTTTTATATGGGAAAATTAGGGGAGAAAATGGGAATTTTATGGGGAAAAAATGGGATTTTTTTGGTAAAAATTTGGGATTTTTATGGGGAAAATTAGGGGAAAAAAGGGAATTATAGGATTTTTATGAGGGAAAATGGGATTTTTAAGGGGGAAAATGGAATTTTTATGGGGAAAAATTGGTGAAAAATTGGGATTTTTATATGGGAAAATTAGGGGAGAAAATGGGAATTTTATGGGGGAAAGTTTGGGATTTTTTGGGGAAAAATTTGGGATTTTTATGGGGGAAAATTGGAGGGAAATTGGGATTTTTATGGGGGAAAATGGGATTTTTATGGGGAAAATTAGGGGAAAAAAGGGAATTTTATGGGGGAAAGTTTGGGATTTTTTGGGGAAAAATTTGGGATTTTTATGGGGGAAAATTGGAGGGAAATTGGGATTTTTATGGGGGAAAATGGGATTTTTAGGGAATTTTATGGGGGAAAGTAGGGAATTTTATGGGGGAAAATTTGGGATTTTTATGGGGGAAAATTGGAGGGAAATTGGGATTTTTATGGGGGAGAAATTGGGATTTTTTTGGGAGAAAATGGGATTTTTGAGGGGAAAAATTGGGATTTTTATGGGGAAAAATTGGAGGGAAATTGGGATTTTTATGGGGGAAAATTGGAGGGAAATTGGGATTTTTATGGGGGAAAATTGGAGGGAAATTGGGATTTTTATGGGGGAAAATTGGAGGGAAATTGGGATTTTTATGGGGGAAAATTGGAGGGAAATTGGGATTTTTATGGGGGAAAATTGGAGGGAAATTGGGATTTTTATGGGGGAAAATTGGAGGGAAATTGGGATTTTTATGGGGGAAAATTGGAGGGAAATTGGGATTTTTATGGGGAAAATTAGGGGAGAAAATGGGAATTTTATGGGGGAAAAATGAGATTTTTTTGGGGAAAAATTAGGATTTTTACAGGAGAAAATAGGTGAAAAATTGAGATTTTTATGGGGAAAAATTGGGATTTTTTGGGGGAAAATGGTGAAAATTTGAGGGTTTTATGGGGGAAAATTTGGAATTTTTTTATGGTGAAAATTTGAGAGTTTTTTTGGGGAAATTTGGATTTTTTATGGGGAAAAATTTGGGGAGAAAATGGAGAAAAAATTGGATTTTTAGGGGGGAAAATTGGGGAAAAATTGGGATTTTTATGGGGAAAATTAGGGGAGAAAATGGGAATTTTATGGGGGAAAAATGAGATTTTTTTGGGGAAAAATTAGGATTTTTACAGGAGAAAATAGGTGAAAAATTGAGATTTTTATGGGGAAAAATTGGGATTTTTTGGGGGAAAATGGTGAAAATTTGAGGGTTTTATGGGGGAAAATTTGGAATTTTTTTATGGTGAAAATTTGAGAGTTTTTTTGGGGAAATTTGGATTTTTTATGGGGAAAAATTTGGGGAGAAAATGGAGAAAAAATTGGATTTTTAGGGGGGAAAATTGGGGAAAAATTGGGATTTTTATGGGGAAAAATTGGGATCTTTTGGGGGAAAAATGGTGAAAATTTGAGGGTTTTTTGGTGGAAAATTGGATTTTTTAATGGGGAAAAATTTGGGGAGAAAATTGAGAAAAAATTTGATTTTTAGGGGGGAAAATTGGAGAAAAATTGGGATTTTTGGCAGGAAAATTGAGGATTTTTGGTGGAAAAATTGGGATTTTAGTGGGAAATTCTGGGTTTTGGCAGGAAAACCAGGAATTTGTAGGAAAATCAGGAATTTTGGGGCATTTTAAAGCAAAATTTGTGATTTTTTTTGTCACGGATTTTTATGGGGGAAAATTGGGATTTTTGAGGGGGAAAAAATGGGATTTTTATGGGGAAAATTAGGGGAGAAAATGGGAATTTTATGGGGGAAAAATGAGATTTTTTTGGGGAAAAATTAGGATTTTTACAGGAGAAAATTGGTGAAAATTTGAGATTTTTACGGGGAAAAATTGGGATTTTTTTGGGGGGAAAATGGTGAAAATTTGAGGGTTTTTTGGTGGAAAATTGGATTTTTTACGGGGAAAAATTTGGGGAGAAAATGGAGAAAAAATTGGATTTTTAGGGGGGAAAATTGGTGAAAAATTGGGATTTTTTGGCAGGAAAATTGAGGATTTTTGGTGGAAAAATTGGGATTTTAGTGGGAAATTCTGGGTTTTGGCAGGAAAATCAGGAATTTGTAGGAAAATCAGGAATTTTGGGGCATTTTAAAGCAAAATTTGTGATTTTTTTTGTCACTCACTCCTTCCCTTCCTCATCGATGTCGTCGACTTCGTACCTGGGGGAAAAAAAAAATCACAACTCAAAACCCAAATCCTGAGGAAAAAATGGAATTTTAACCCAAAAATAATTGGGATTTTTTTGGGGGGAAAATGGTGAAAATTTGAGGGTTTTTTGGTGGAAAATTGGATTTTTTAATGGGGAAAAATTTGGGGAGAAAATTGAGAAAAAATTTGATTTTTAGGGGGGAAAATTGGAGAAAAATTGGGATTTTTGGCAGGAAAATTGAGGATTTTTGGTGGAAAAATTGGGATTTTAGTGGGAAATTCTGGGTTTTGGCAGGAAAACCAGGAATTTGTAGGAAAATCAGGAATTTTGGGGCATTTTAAAGCAAAATTTGTGATTTTTTTTGTCACTCACTCCTTCCCTTCCTCATCGATGTCGTCGACTTCGTACCTGGGGGAAAAAAAAAATCACAACTCAAAACCCAAATCCTGAGGAAAAAATGGAATTTTAACCCAAAAATCGGAATTTTGAGCCAAAACTGCAGATTTTGAGTCCAATAAAGTGAAATTTTCAGCCCAAAATTGTGAATTTTAAGCCAAAAAATTGAACTTCGGCCTGAAAAAGTGAATTTTGAGCCAAAATTGTGAATTTTGAGTGAAATAAATTGAATTTTGTCCTAAAAATTTGAATTATGAGCCAAAAAAGGAGAATTTTGGCTTGAAAACGTGACTTTTGATCAAAACCCAAACCCTGAGGAAAAAATGGAATTTTGACCCAAAAATCGGAATTTTGAGGCCAAAACTGCAGATTTTGAGTCCAATAAAGTGAAATTTTCACCAAAATTGTGAATTTTGAGTGAAATAAATTGAATTTTGTCCTAAAAATTTGAATTATGAGCCAAAAAAGGAGAATTTTGGCTTGAAAATGTCATTTTTGATCCAAAATATTGAATTTTAAGACCAAAATGTGAATTTTGGGACAAATAAAGCAGATTTTGCCCTAAAAAAGGGAATTTTGACTCTAAAAAGCAAATTTTGAGACCAAAAAAGTGAATTTTGAGCCAAAAAAACAAATTTTGAAGACAAAAATGTAAATTTTGACCAAAAAAGGTGAATTTTGAGGCCAAAACCAGGCGATTTTAAACCCCAAAAAATAAAATTTTGAACCCAATAATGTGAATTTTTAATTTTGTCCTGAAAATTTTAATTATGAGCCCAAAAAAAGGAGAATTTTGGCTTGAAAACGTGACTTTTGTTCTAAAATATTGAATTTTAAGCCCAAAATGTGATTTTCGGGACAAATAAAGCAGATTTTGGCCTGAAAAAGGGAATTTTGACTCTAAAAAGCAAATTTTGAGGCCAAAAAAGAGAATTTTGAGCCAAAAAACCAAATTTTGAAGACAAAAATGTAAATTTTGACCAAAAAAGGTGAATTTTGAGGCCAGAACCAGCTGATTTTAAACCCAAAAAAATAAAATTTTGAACCCAATAATGTGAATTTTTACCTAAATAAACGAATTTTGAGCCAAATATTTCGAGATTTGTGCCTAAAAATGTGAAAAAAATCTCATTTTGAACCCAAAAAAAGCAGATTTTAACTCAAAAGAAGCAAATTTGGACTAAAAAATTTTATTTTTGATGCAGAAAATTTTATTTTTGACCCAAAAAATGTGATTTTTGGGCAGAAAAAGGAGGATTTTGGGGTGAAAAGGGGGATTTTGGGGTGAAAAACTGGGATTTTGGGGGTGAAAAGGGGGATTTTGGGGTGAAAAGGGGGACTTTGGGTGAGAAAGGGGGATTTTGGGGTGAAAAAAAGGGGATTTTGGGGTGAAAAGGGGGGATTTTGAGGGGAAAAGGGGATTTTGGGGTAAAAAGGGGGATTTGGGGGTGAAAAGGGGGATTTTGGGTGAAAAAGGGGGATTTTGGGGGAGAAGGGGGGATTTTGGGGGGAAAAAAAAGGGGGATTTTGGGGTGAAAAGGGGGACTTTGGGTGAGAAAGGGGGATTTTGGGGTGAAAAAAAGGGGATTTTGGGGTGAAAAGGGGGGATTTTGAGGTGAAAAGGGGATTTTGGGGTAAAAAGGGGGATTTGGGGGTGAAAAGGGGGATTTTGGGTGAAAAAGGGGGATTTTGGGTGAGAAAGGGGGATTTTGGGGTGAAAAAATAGGATTTTGGGGTGAGAAAGGGGGTTTTGGGGTGGAAAAGGCAGATTTTGGGCTCAGAAAGGGGGATTTTGGTTGAAAAAGGGGGATTTTGGGCTGAAAAAGGGCGATTTTGGTGTGATAAAGGGGGATTTTGGGGTGAAAAAGAGGGATTTTGGGGTGAAAAGGGAGATTTTGGGTGAAAAGGGGGGATATTGGGGTGAAAAACTGGGATTTTGGGTGAAAAGGGGGGATTTTGGGGTGAAAAAAGGGGATTTTGGGTGAGAAAGGGGAATTTGGGGTGAAAAAGGGGGATTTTGGGGTGAAAAAGGGGGATTTCGGGTGAAAAAAGGGGATTTTGGGGTGAGTAATGGGATTTCGGGGTCAAAAAGGAGGATTTTGGGTGAAAAAATGGGATTTTTGGGTGAAAAAATAGGATTTTGGGGTGAGAAAGGGGGTTTTGGGGTGGAAAAGGCAGATTTTGGGCTCAGAAAGGGGGATTTTGGTTGAAAAAGGGGGATTTTGGGCTGAAAAAGGCGGATTTTGGGGTGAAAAAGGGGATTTTGGGGTGAGAAAGGGGGATTTTGGGGTGACTCACTTGTTGGCAGCATGGCTGTAGCTCACCACCTCGGCCAGGATCCACTGCTCGTCCCCCTCCAGGGCCTTGACCCTGGCGGCCACTTTGTCCCCGGGCTTGGCCACGTAGTCGCCGGCGGCCGGCACGGCCCCGCACAGGGGAGGGGGTCTGGGGGGGCACCCCGAAACTCCTGAGCCAGGATTCCCTCTAATTCTGTGACATTCCCTCCAGAAATTCCCCCAAAATTCCCAAAAGTTCTGCGAAATTCCCTCCAGAAATTCCCTCAAAATTCAAAAAAATTCTCTCCAGAAATTCCCCCAAAATTCTGCAAAATTCCCTCCAGAAATTCCCTCAAAATTCAAAAAAATTCTCTCCAGAAATTCCCCCAAAATTCCCAAAAATTCCCTCAAAATTCCCAAAAGTTCTGCAAAATTCCCTCCAGAAATTCCCTCAAAATTCAAAAAAATTCTCTCCAGAAATTCCCCCAAAATTCTGCAAAATTCCCTCCAGAAATTCCCTCAAAATTCCCAAAAGTTCTGCAAAATTCCCTCCAGAAATTTTCCTCACTGTTCTGCGAAATTCCCTCCAAAAATTCCCTTCAGAAATTCCCCCAAAATTCCCAAAAATTCCCTCCAGAAATTCCCCCCAGAAATTCCCTCAAAATTCCAAAAAATTCTGCAAAATTCCCTCCAGAAATTCACAAATTTTCCCCCAAAAATTCTCAAAATTTTCTAAGAAACCCCCCATTAAAAAATCCCCCAAATTCCCTCCGAAGTTCCCCATAAAAATTCCTTCAAATTCCCTAAAAAATTCACCCAAATTCCCACTGAAGCTCCCCCACAATGTAACCAAAATTCCCTCAAACTCCCCATAAAAATTGCACAAAATTTCCTCAAGTTCCCTTCAAAATTCCCCATGAAAATTCCCTCAAATTCCCCACAAAAATTCCCACAAAAATTCCCAAAAAATATTCCAAATTTTTCCCCCAAAAAATTCTCAAAAATCTCAAAAATAATCCCAAAATTCCCAAAAGTTCTGCAAAATTCCCTCCAGAAATTCCCAAAAGTTCTGCAAAATTCCCTCCAGAAATTCCCTCAGAATTCCCAAAAGTTCCCCCCAGAAATTCCCTCAAAATTCCCAAAAATTCTGCAAAATTGCCTCCAGAAATTCCCCCAAAATTCCCAAAAATTCCCTCCAGAAATTCCCTCAAAATTCCCAAAAGTTCTGCAAAATTCCCTCCAGAAATTCCCAAATTTTCCCCCAAAAATTCTCGAAATTTTCTAAGAAACTCCGCATTAAAAAGGCCCCCAAATTCCCTCCGAAGTTCCCCATAAAAATTCCTTCAAATTCCCTAAAAAATTCACCCAAATTCCCACTGAAGCTCCCCCACAATGTAACCAAAATTCCCTCAAACTCCCCATAAAAATTGCACAAAATTTCCTCAAGTTCTCTTCAAAATTCCCCATGAAAATTCCCTCAAATTCCCCACAAAAATTCCCACAAAAATTCCCAAAAAATATTCCAAATTTTTCCCCCAAAAAATTCTCAAAAATCTCAAAAATAATCCCCCCACATTCCCTCAAATTCCTCATTAAAAATTTCCCTAAATTCCCTCAAATTCCCTCCAAAATTCTCTTTAAAAATTCCCTCAAATTCCCCATAAAAATTACCACCAAAATTCCCCCAAAATTCCCTCAAACTCCCCATAAAAAGTCTCCAAAATTCCTACTAAAATTCACCCCAAAATTTCCCCCAAAATTCCCTCAAACTCCCCATAAAAATTCCACAAAATTTCCTCACATTCCCTCCAAAATTCTCCACAAAAGCTCCCCAAATTTTTCCAAACGTTTCCAAAAAATTCCCACAAAAATTCCCCCAAAATTCTCTCAAATTCCCCAGAAAATTTCTCTCAAATTCCTCATAAAAATTCCCAAAAATTTCCCATATTTTCCCACATTCCCTCCAACAAATTCCAACAAATTCCCCTAAAATTCCCTTAAATTCCCCAAATTCCCTCTTTTTCCCCCCAAATTCCTCTTTACCCTCCCAAACCCCTCATTATTCCCCAAAATTCCCTGTTTTCCCCAATTTTTCCCCATTTTTCCTCACTTTTCACCACATTTCCCAATCCACAGCAGCGCCATCACTGGCACCCTAAAGCCTCCCCTTTTTCCCTCAAATTCCCCGTTTTTCCCCACAAAATCCCCATTTTTCCCCCAAATTCCCCTCTTTGCCCTCTCAAATCCTCATTATTCCCAAAAATTCCCATTTTTTTCCCATTTTTCCTCACTTTTCCCCGGGCTTCCCGATCCACAGCAGCAGCAACACTGGCACCCTAAACGCCCATCTTTTTCCCTGTAAATTCCCATTCTTCCCCACAAACTCCCTCTTTTTCCCCCAAAATCCCTCTTTACCCTTCCAAATCCCTCATTATCCCTCAGAATTCCCATTTTTTTTCCCATTTTTTCCCATTTTTCCTCACTTTTCCCCGAGCTTCCCAATCCACAGTGGCAGCAACACTGGCACCCTAAAACCCCCTCTTTTTCCCTGTAAATTCCCATTCTTCCCCACAAATTCCCCCTTTTCCCCCCCAAATCCCTCTTTACCCTCCCAAATCCCTCATTATCCCCAAGAATTCCCATTTTTTTCCAATTTTTTCCCATTTTTCCTCACTTTTCTCCGGGCTTCCCGATCCACAGCGGCAGCGTCATCGCCGACTGCTGCAGCAGCGTCATCAGCACCCCCCTCCTCATCGTCTTCCTGGGCGGCTCCGCCTCGCTGTAAATCCCGGCGATTTTTGCCGCTGGAATTAAAACGTTAAAAAAGACCCAAATTCCATCGGAATTTGCGGGATTTGGGTGGAATTTTGGGGGGTTTTAGGGGGTTTTAAGGGGTTCGAGGCTTTTCCCGCCTTTTTTCCCGGCCGTGAGGGGAGCGGCGCGGAGGCGCCCCCTAGCGGCCGTACCGATGCGGCGCTCCTCAAGCAGCGATTTGATCTCGGCGATTTTATCCAGAGCTCTCCGGAGGACGCTGAGATAAAAAATGAGGGAAAAAAAGGTAAAATTTGGGGGGAAAAGTGGAGTTTGGAAGGTGGGAAGCGGTGGGGAAGGGAAAAGTTGGGAGTTTTGGGGGGAAAGGGTTTTTTTTTGTGGGAAAAGGGGGGTGGAAAATGGGGGTTTTAGGGAAAATTAGGAGGGGATTGCGAGGGAAAATCTGAGGGGGCGAGGGAAAATTTGCAGGGAAACAGCAGAAATCTGAGGGGAAAAAGAGAAAAATCTGGGAAAGGGGGAAAAAAAGAAATCCGGGATGGGAAATGTGAATTTGAAGTGATAAAGTGGGAATTTGAGAGAATAAAATAAAAATAGGAAGTAGGAAAACAATCTGAGGGCAAAAGGTGGGAATCTGAGGGGGAAAAGTAGAAACCTGAGGAGGAAAAGTGGGAATATGGAGAGATGAAGCAGGAACTTGAAGGGAGAAGTAGGAATTTGAGGGGAGAAAGCAGAAATGTGAAGGGGAAAATGGGAAATCTGAGGAGAAAAAGTGGGAATTTGAGAGCAAAAGCAGAAATTGAAAGTGGAAAAAAAATCTGAGAGCAAAAAGTGGAAATCTAGAGAAATAAAGCGCGAATTTTAAGCCTAAAGGGGAAATCTGAATAGGAAAAAAGTGGAAATCTGAGAGAAAAAAAAAAGTGGGAATCTGAGAGAAAAAAAGGAGAAATCTCAGAGAAAAAAAAGGTAATTTGAAGTGGAAAAGGAGAAATCTGAGGGGGAAAAGTGGGAATATGAAGGGATAAAGTGGGAATTTGAGAGAAAAAACCAGAAATTGGAGGTGGAAAAAATCAGAGCGAAAAAAGTAGAAATTTGAAGGGGAAAGCAGAAATCTGAGAGGGAAAAGTGGGAATCTCAGGGGGAAAAGTGGGAATCTGACGGGAAAAAAGTGGAAATCTGGAGAAAAAAAGCCAAAATGTGAGGGAAAAAAGTGGGAGTTTGAAGGGATAGAGTGGGAATCTGAGGGCAAAAAGCAGAAATATGAGGGAAAATAGTAGAAATTAGCAGGGAAACAGTGGAAATCTGAGGGGAAAAAGTGGGAATTCGAAGGGATAAAGTAGGAATTTGAGGGCAAAAAGCAGAAATATGAGGGAAAATAGTAGAAATTAGCAGGGAAACAGTGGAAATCTGAGGGGAAAAAGTGGGAATTCGAAGGGATAAAGTAGGAATTTGAGGGCAAAAAGCAGAAATATGAGGGAAAATAGTAGAAATTAGCAGGGAAACAGTGGAAATCTGAGGGGAAAAAGTGGGAATTCGAAGGGATAAAGTAGGAATTTGAGGGCAAAAAGCAGAAATATGAGGGAAAATAGTAGAAATTAGCAGGGAAACAGTGGAAATCTGAGGGGAAAAAGTGGGAATTCGAAGGGATAAAGTAGGAATTTGAGGGCAAAAAGCAGAAATATGAGGGAAAATAGTAGAAATTAGCAGGGAAACAGTGGAAATCTGAGGGGAAGGAGAAATAAAGGAGAAATCTCAGGGAAAAAACTGGGAATTTGAAGTGGAAAAGGGGAAATCTGAGGGGGAAAAGTGGGAATTTGAAGGGATAAAGTGGGAATTTGAGAGAAAAAAACAGAAATTGGAGGTGGAAAAAATCAGAGCGAAAAAAGTAGAAATTTGAGGGGGAAAGCAGAAATCTGAGAGGGAAAAGTGGGAATCTCAGGGGGAAAAGTGGGAATCTGACGGGAAAAAAGTGGAAATCTGGAGAAAAAAAGCCAAAATGTGAGGGAAAAAAGTGGGAGTTTGAAGGGATAGAGTGGGAATCTGAGGGCAAAAAGCAGAAATATGAGGGAAAATAGTAGAAATTAGCAGGGAAACAGTGGAAATCTGAGCAGGGAAAGTGGAAATCGGAGGGGGAAAAGTGGGAATTTGAAAGGATAAAGTGGGAATTTGAGAGAAAAAGCAGAAATTCGAGGTGAAAAAATATCTGGCGGTGAAAAGTAGAAATTTGAGGGGAAAGCAGAAATCTGAGGGGGAAAAGTGGGAATCTGGAGAGATAAAGCAGGAATTTGAAAGGAAAAATGAGAATCTGAAGGAAAAAAAATGGAAATTTGAGGGGAAAAGTGAGAATTTGAAGGCAACTTGGGAATCTGAAGGCAAAAAGCAAAAACTTGAAGGAAAAAAAGAAAATCTGAGGGGGAAAAGTGGGAATCTGAGCGAGGGAAAACAGAAATCTGAGGGGAAAAAAGTGGAAACTAGCAGGAAAACAGCAGAAATCTGAGGGGAAAGGTGTAAATCTGAGGGGGAAAAGTGAGAATTTCAAGGGATAAATTAGAAATTTGAGGAATTTGAGGTTTTTTTGGATTTAAAAATGGGAATTCTGGACTCACTTGCACTCGGCCTCGGCGTCGGCCTTGGCTGTGGTGTAGAGCCCTCGGAGCTTGGTGCGGTAATAGGGAGAAACTGAAGGGGATTTTGGGGGTCAAAATGTTCCAAAAACCCCCAAAATCCCCCCAAAATTCCCTCAAAATCCCAGGATTTTTTACTTTTGTTCTCCGTCTGCATCCGCTCGTGAGTCTTCTGGATGTTCACCAGGTTGTGCTCGCTGCGGGAGCGTTCCTCCTGAGGGGGAAAGTTGGGAAAAAATTGGGGAAATGAGGAAAAAAGAAAGAAAATTGGGGAAAAAGAGATGGAAATTAGGAAAAAGGGGGGAAAATGAGGAAAAAAGGATGGGAAAAGGGGTGGAAATGAGGAAAAAAGGAGGGAAAAGAGGAGTTTTGGGTTAATAAAGGGGGATTTATGTGGGAAAAATTGGGAAATGTGGGGGTTGCAGTTAATAAATTGAGATTTGTGAAGAAAAATGAGGGATTTTGAGGGGTAGAAATTAATAAATAGGAAACTTTTAGGGGAAAATGAGGGATTTGGGGAGTTGGAGTTAATAAAGGGGGATTTATGAGGGGAAAATTAGGAATTTTGACGGGTTGGAGTTAATAAATGGAGATTTTTGAGGGAAAAATGAGGAATTTTGGGGTTTGGAGTTGATAAAGAGAAATTTAGATGGGGAAAATAAAGAAAAAATGGGGGATTTTAGGGGAAAAAGGGGGTTTGGGGGTAGAAATGGAGGATTTGAGCAAATTAAGTGGGATCTGGTGTAGAAGCAGGGGATTTGGTGACAAGAAAGGGGATAATTTAAGGTAATATTGGTGAATTTTAAAATAAAATTTGTGAATTTGGGATAAAATGGGATATGCAACAATAAGAATGGGCAGTTTTATAATAAAATAAGTGATTTTAGGAAAAATGAACACAATTTAGGGCTAAAAATGGGTGATTTTATGAAGTTTGTGAAGGGAAACTGGAGATTCTGAGGGGAAACGGGGGACTTGTGAGGGAAATATGCAAATTTGTGAGGGGAAAATGCAAATTTCTGAGGGGAAATGAGGGGGAAACACGGCCTCCGTGAGGGGAAAAAGGTGATTTGGGCAGAAATTGGTGATTTTTGGAGTCTGTGAGGGGAAAAAAGTTGATTTTGGAGTGAAATTGGTGATTTTTGGGGTCCGTGAGGGGAAACGGGGGTTTGTGAGGAAACATGCAAATTTCTGAGGGGAAAATGCAAATTTCTGAGGAGAAATGAGAAAGAAACAGGACCTCCGTGAGGGGAAAAAGGTGATTTGGGCAGAAATTAGTGATTTTTGGAGTCTGTGAGGGGGAAAAAAGTTGATTTTGGAGTGAAATTGGTGATTTTTGGGGTCCGTGAGGGGAAACGGGGGTTTGTGAGGAAACATGCAAATTTCTGAGGGGAAAATGCAAATTTCTGAGGAGAAATGAGAAAGAAACAGGACCTCCGTGAGGGGAAAAAGGTGATTTAGGAAGAAATGGGTGATTTTTGGTGTCCGTAAGTGGAAAAAGAATTATTTTGGGGTGAAATGTATGATTTTTCGGATCCGTGAGTGTAAAGAGGAAATTTTGGTGTGAAATGGGTAATTTTGGGGGTCCGTGAGGCGAAAAAAAAGTCGATTTTGGGGTGAAATTGATGATTTTTGGGATCCTTGAGGGTAAAGAGGACATTTTGGTGTGAAATGGGTAATTTTGGGGGTCCGTGAGGCGAAAAAAAAGTCGATTTTGGGGTGAAATTGATGATTTTTGGGATCCTTGAGGGTAAAGAGGACATTTTGGTGTGAAATGGGTAATTTTGGGGGTCCGTGAGGCGAAAAAAAAGTCGATTTTGGGGTGAGGGGGTCCGTGAGGGAAAAAAAAGTTTATTTTGGGGTGAAATTGATGATTTTTGGGATCCGTGAGGGTAAAGAGAAGATTTTAGTGTGAAATGGGTAATTTTGGGGCTCCGTGAGGAGAAAAAAAGTTGATTTGGGTGTGAAATGGGATCCGTGAGGGTAAAGAGAAGATTTTAGTGTGAAATGGGTAATTTTGGGGGTCCGTGAAGGGAAAAAAAGTTTATTTTGGGGTGAAATTGATGATTTTTGGGATCCTTGAGGGTAAAGAGGACATTTTGGTGTGAAATGGGTAATTTTGGGGGTCCGTGAGGCGAAAAAAAAGTCGATTTTGGGGTGAAATTGATGATTTTTGGGATCCGTGAGGGTAAAGAGAAGATTTTAGTGTGAAATGGGTAATTTTGGGGCTCCGTGAGGAGAAAAAAAGTTGATTTGGGTGTGAAATGGGATCCGTGAGGGCAAACGGGAAGGAAATATCGGGATCCGTGAGGAGAAATCGGGGAAAAGTGGAGCAAACGGGGATCGGGGATGGAAAACGGGGCATGCTGAGGAGGAAAGAAAAATCCTAAAGGGAAATTGGAAGATCCTAAAAGAAATTGCGGTACCTGCGTCTGTTTAATGAGCTGGTGCAGCTCCCCCAGCAGCTCCGCGATGCGGGAATCGGCCGAGACCAGCGCCATGACGGGAGAATGGGACCGGGACTGGGGGGGGGCAAAATGGCGGCGGCTCCTGAGGGCGGTGGCGGGCGGGAAGGGGGCAGGTCTCAGAAGGCACGCAAACCACGCCCATATAGCACCATATATGGATAACGCCACGCCTCTTTCCCTTACATGGCACGAAGCCGCGCCTACCTATTATTTACGAGCTCTTAAACCACGCCCATAACATCCCTTATATGGATTCGCTCGTGGCAAAGCCACGCCCTTCATCTCCTATTATGGATTCATCGCCCTTTAAGCCACGCCCCCTCATCTCCAAATATGGATTGCCCGCGGAAAATCACGTGCTCGCCGTGTCACATGACCAGCGCCCAACATGGCGGACGAGGAACCGCTGCTGCCGCCGGGTGAGAGGCGAAAATGGGGAATAAAAATGGGGATAAAAAACGGGAATTCGGGATAAAAACCGGGATAAACCCCCGGAATTAACACCGGGATAAGGGGCCGGGAATGGAGCCGGGAAGGGGAACCGGGAGTGGCGAACGGGGAACTAAAACAGGACCGGGGGAAAAACCAACCCCAAAATCTCCCAAATTGACCCCAAAATCCCTTCAGAACTCCTCCCCTCCCCCACAGAGGAAGACTCCGCCCCTCCCCCGCCCGCCCCGACCTCGTCCTGGCGAATCGGAGCCGCTTTTTGGTGAGTGCCCCTCCCCCAGCCCTTGAGGCCACGCCCCCACACGAGGCCACGCCCACACCTCAAACCCCTTCAATTTCCCGCCAAAACTGAGCCAATTTTGGGACACATCCACCCATTTAAGCCACGCCCCTTTGGACTCATTTGGTTGTGACCACGCCCACCTTGATGGCCACGCCCCTTTAAGCCACACCCCAAACTTAAAACACTTAGGCCCCGCCCCCTTGGCCACACCCAATCGCGACCACGCCCTTTAAAACCCCTCCCCCACGCTAAACTCCCCCCATTTTGACTCCTCCCCCTCCCCATAAGCCACGCCCCTATCTGGTGTGCCACACCCCGGCGTGGCCACGCCCACCCCGGCTCGGCCACGCCCCTCTAAGCCCCGCCCCCCGCAGGCTTTTGGGGCTGTGTAACAACCTGCCCTACGTGGTGATGCTCAGCGCCGCCCGCGACCTGCTGGAGCCACGCCCCGTGAGTGGCCACGCCCACTTTCTAAACCACGCCCTCTCTTCATAACCACGCCCCTTTAGGGGTGGCCACGCCCCCCTTTTTCTGATTGGTTGTTGGGGTTTTTTTAGGGGGAGGAGCCGCGGAATCGGACCCGGCACGACTGCGACCCTGTGGGGACAGGGGTGGGTGGGGCTTAAGGGGGGCGGGGCTTACTGGGAAAGGGGCTGAAAGGGGCGGGGCTTAAAGGGAAAGGGGCTTAAAGGGAAAGGGGCTGAAAGGGGATTTTGGGTTGAAAAGTTGGATTTTGGGTTGAAAAAGGACAATTTTGTGTTCAAAAAAGGGGATTTTGGGTCAGAAAAGGAGGATTTTGAGCTGAAGAAGGAGAATTTTGGGTTAGAAAAGTGCGATTTTGGTGTCCCCCCAGGCCGCGGGTGGTGCTGGTGGCTCTGTGCCTCTGGGGCAGCGTCGGCGCCGTGGCCGCGGCCAGAGGGACCCTCAGCGGCCTGGGGGGTGAGAGAGGGGTCACTCGGGGTCAGGGGTCACTTGGGTTTAAAAAGTGCGATTTTGGTGTCCCCCCCAGGCCGCGGGTGGTGCTGGTGGCTCTGTGCCTCTGGGGCAGCGTCGGCGCCGTGGCCGCGGCCAGAGGGACCCTCAGCGGCCTGGGGGGTGAGACAGGGGGCACGGGGTCACTCGGGGTCACTTGGGGTCACTGGGGGTCAGGGGTCACTTGGGGTCACTTGGGGTCACTTGGGGTCACTCGGGGTCACTCAGGGGCACTCAGTGGTCACTCAGGGGTCACTCAGGGTCACTCAGGGTCACTCAGGGTCACTCAGTGGTCAGTGGTCACTCAGGGTCACTCAGGGTCACTCAGTGGTCACTCAGGGTCACTCAGTGGTCACTCAGGGTCACTCAGTGGTCACTCATTGGTCACTCAGTGGTCAGTGGTCACTCAGGGGTCACTCAGTGGTCATTGGTCACTCATTGGTCACTCTGGTCCCTCATTGGTCACTCTCTGCCCCCCAGGCGTGGCGCTGGGCAGCGCGGGGGCGGGGCTCGGCGAGGTCACCTTCCTCACCTTGGCCTCCTCCTACCCCAGGTGAGGGGGCGTGGCCTCCAGAGGGGGGCGTGGCCTCACCTGGGGGCCACGCCCACCTGGGCCACGCCCCAACGTGGGGGGAGGGGCAAAAAATTCCCAAAAATTCGGGTGAAATTGGGTCAAAATTGGGCAAAAATTGATTGGGGGTGGGGCAAAGTGGGCGGGGCTTTGTGGGGTGGGCGTGGCCACAGAAAAGTGGGCGGGGCTTGAAAATGAGGTTTAAAAGGGTTAAAATTGGGTCCAAAATTGCGAAAATTTGGTCAAAATTGCCCAAATTTGGTCCAAAATCACCAAAAATGGGATTGGGGGAGGGGCAAAGTGGGCGTGGCTTGATGTGGGTGGGCGTGGCCATGCAAAAAGTGGGTGGGGCTTGAAATGAGATGAAAATCAGCTAAAATTGGGGGGAAATTCACAAAAATTTGGTTAAAATTGGCCAAATTTGGTCAAAATGAGGAAAAAATGTAATTGGAGGAGGGGAAATGTGGGCGGGGCTTGGTGTGGGTGGGCGTGGCCATGCAAAAAAGTGGGTGGGGCTTTAAATGAGGTGAAAATCAGCTAAAATTGGGTAAAAATTTACAAAAATTGGGTAAAATTGGCCAAATTTGGTCCAAAATAACAAAAATAAGGGATTGGGGGCGGGGCAAAGTGGGCGTGGCTTGATGTGGGTGGGCGTGGCCATGCAAAAAAGTGGGTGGGGCTTTAAATGAGGTGAAAATCAGCTAAAATTGGGTAAAAATTTACAAAAATTGGGTCAAAACTGGCCAAATTTGGTCAAAATGAAGAAATATGGGATTGGGGGAGGGGAAATGTGGGCGGGGCTTGATGTGGGTGGGCGTGGCCGCACAAAAAGGGGCGTGGCTCCACAAAAGAGGGTGGGGCTTGAAAATGAGGTAAAAATCCGTTAAAATTGGCTGAAAAAAATCTTCAAAATTGGCCAAATTTGGTCAAAATGAAGAAAAATGGGATTGGGGGAGGGGCAAAGTGGGCGGGGCTTGACGTGGGTGGGCGTGGCCGCACAAAAAGGGGCGTGGCTCCATAATTGTCTCAAACTCAGCCAAAATTTTTTCCAAAATCGTCAAAATTTGCTCAAAATCGGCCAAAATTTGGTCCAAAAGTTTAAAAAATTTGATTGGGGCGTGGCCAAGTGGGCGGGGTTTCGTGTGGGTGGGCGTGGCCTCACAAAATGGGCGGGGCTTCGAAATCGAGTCAAAATTGAGCTAAAATCACCAAAAATGGGTGGAAAATGTAAAAAAAATTTGAATTTGTGAAGTGGGCGTGGCCAGTCTGACTCGGCTCCTCCCCCAGCAGCTCCGGGCTCTCCCATTGGTCGTCGGGGACGGGCGCGGCCGGAGTGGGCGGGGCTTTGGGCTTTTGGGGCTTGAGGGCGTGGCTGCCCCTCCCCCACGCGCTGCTGCCCTTCCTGGCCCTGCCCCCCCTGATGCTGCTCAGGTGAGACCCAAAATCTCCAATTTTCAACCCAAAATTTAACTTTTTTAACCCAAAATTCCCCATTCTTAACCCCCAAAATTCCCAAATTTTTACCCCAAAACCTCCCAGTATTTTTAATAAATTTATCCAATTTTTTACCCCAAAAGTTCAAATTTTTAACCCAAAATTCCCCATTCTTAACCCCCAAAATTCCCAAATTTTTACCCCAAAACCTCCCAGTATTTTTAATAAATTTATCCAATTTTTTACCCCAAAAGTTCAAATTTTTAACCCAAAATTTGCCATTTTTAACCCAAAATTCACTTTTCTTAACCCCCAAAATTCCCAAATTTTGTACCCAAAAATTCCCAATTCTTAACCCAAAACCTCCCAATTTTTTTAATAAATTTATCCAATTTTTTACCCCAAAAGTTCAAATTTTTAACCCAAAATTTGCCATTTTTAACCCAAAATTCACTTTTTTAAACCCAAATTTTCACCCGCAAAATCCAAAACTTTTTAACCCCAAAATTTCCAATTTTGAACCCGAAATTCCCCAAATTTTAACCCCAAAATCCAAAACTTTTTAACCCAAAGTTTCCAATTTTTAACCCAAAATTCCCCAAATTTTAACCCCAAATTCCCCAATTTTTAACCTCAAAATCCAAAACTTTTTAAAAATCCCCTTCTTCCCCTTAACCCAAAATTCCCCAAATTTTAACCCCAAATTCCCCAATTTTTAACCTCAAAATCCAAAACTTTTTAACCCAAAATTTCCAATTTTTAACCCAAAATTCCCCAAATTTTAACCCCAAATTCCCCAATTTTTAACCTCAAAATCCAAAACTTTTTAACCCAAAATTTCCAATTTTTAACCCAAATTTTCTCATTTTTAACCCCAAAATTCCAAAGTTTTAACCCCAAAATTCTCCACTTTTTACCCAAAATTCACTTTTTTTAACCCAGATGTCCCAAATTTTTGACCTCAAAATCCAAAAATTTTTAACCCCAAAATTCTCAATATTTAACTCAAAATTCCCAAATTTTTACTCCCCAAATTCTTGATTTTTAACCCAAATTCAATTTTCTTAACCCGAAATTCCCAAATTTTTAACCTCAAAATCCAAAAATTTTTAACCACAAAGTTCCTCATTTTCACCCCCAAAATTCCCAAATTCTTAACCCAAAACTCCCCAATTTTTAACCCCAAAATCCAAAAATTTTTAAGCCCAAAATTCCCCATTTTTAACCCAAAGCTCCCCATTTTTAACCCAAAATTCACTTTTTTAACCCAAATTTTCACCCCCAAAATCCAAAATTTTTTCACTCTAAAATTCCCAAATTTTAACCCAAAATTCACTTTTCTAACCCAAATTTCCCAAAAATTTAACCCCAAAATTCACGTAC